TTTATATAACTGCCTGTTAAAGGCGCAATAATTCATGTAAATAATTTATGAAAAAGAGAAAAGGAGAGATGTGTGGAAAGAATTATACATCGATGAGATTTTTTTCTCTGAGGATCAACTGTTTTGTATGATTCTATATACGTATATACGGTGTATCAATCATTTAGGATATTTATTAAATTATAGACTCTAAGTAACATGTTGTAGCGTAAGTTTACAATTATAAAGAATAAAGAAATCAATGCTCTTGTTATATATAAGTTTATACTTTGCCACATTATCCCGTTTAATTTCTCCATCAAGTTTAATTTTCTAAAATTTCTCTATTTTCTAACTTATTTTCTGTAAGCTAATTTTTAGAAATTCGATAGATCTATAAAATTCGCCAGAGAATCAGGCATACATAACTAAATTTATTCTAATCAGTTTTAATTTGTTCATTTTAAGGAAACAGATGTATGCAATACTATACATATATTTGTCCGTATATTAAATCCATGCATACATGTGTGTATTCAGGTATGTACATAATATACTAATAAAATTATCATCTGTTACCCTAATAAAAATATTGATTTATCACTCACCGATCCGATGCGCAACAGTGGAGTTACATCTGCAACGTCGATGATTCTGTAACAAATAAATTAAAATTCAAATTAAAACAAAGTAAAGAAATAATCATTACTTAAAAAAATAATTGCTATATGAACGCATGCAGTTTGCTGAAAATAATTGTGCAATTCTGAAAATATAATTTTTATATAAGCATCGAACTTTGTACCCATTATTTTATTAGATATATCAAAATATTATATATTCTCTAAAATGATTATATACAGGTGTTTGAAAAATAATGAAAAATCTTTCGCATAGAGACTGGACTAAACTGAGAAAAACAGTCCTCTATCATTTTGAAATAGTTAACAAGATATTAATTGCTAAAAATTGCTTTTCAATTGGTTTTGAATAATTTTTTACTCAAATACTTTTATTCAAATACTTTAAAACAGCAAGAGATGAAAATTATTTTTTTCTTCTCATAGAACTCTATAAATTTTTTCAGAATTTGTTATCAACTTTTTAGTACTGCATTTTCTCGTTTTTAACAGCATGAGAAAATACGACGATATTAAAAAATTCTTAAAAAATTCTTAGAACTCTACGAGAAGAAAATAAATAATTTTTGCCTCTTGCAATTTTTCTGCAAAGTTGATAGTAATTGAGTAAAAAATTATTGAAGACCGATTTTCGACAATTTTTAGCAATTAATATCTTGTTAAATTGCAAAAATTGCAAAATAGTAGAGGACTTTTCTTCTCAGTTTAGTCCATTCTGTCCCAATGCGAAAGATTTATCATTATTTTCTAAACACTGTATATTTTCTAAAATAATTATATATATATATTCTCTAAAGAAGATCTTAGCAAAAATAAATTCATATAAAATTTTAAAGTATTATTTAAATTACTTTAAAATTTTATATGAATTTATTTTTGCTAAGATCTTCTTTAGAGAATATATATATATAATTATTTTATCTCAATTTTAAGTAACTCTCCTTTTATTTAATTTAGATAAAAGGAGAGTTACTTAAAAATTATTAAAAAATTGTATACAAATTTATTTTTGCTAAGATCTTTTTTAAAAAATACATATAATTATTTTAGAGAATACATATAATTACTTTAGAGAATATATGTTTTATTGAATATAAAATTATTTAAATCATTTTATTTAACAATGATTTAAAAATAATCATTTTTAAATCATTGTCAAATAAAATGATTTAAAAACAAGCGAAAAAAGGTTAATTTTACATAAGTAAAAAATAATATTTACCACAAGGTTGCTCCACCGGTGCCCGATGTCTCTCCCAGACCTCCTCCTCCTCTCAGAATATGCACACGAG